GATGTCATCACAGCCACATAATGAGCACTGATGCCATAGAATGACGCATGTTGGCGTTTTTGCAGGTGTCGTTAAACTTTACACATATCTCAGCCACCTCTGAGCTGGGTAATAAGACGTAGTGTTATCTGAGCAATTAAATCATTCAGTCTTGGATATGAGATGAATGTTCTCTCTGTTCATGGAAAATGATTAATTTATCAGGCTATTTTCAGAGGTACACTTCCAAAAACATGCACGTGCCCCTCTTATTAATGGGTTTGGCTATTTTAGCCACACCTGTTACTAACAGATGCATACAATAAAGTATATAGACATACAATTGTCCATTGACAAACATTGGCTAAAAACTGTCATAGGGTACTACTTTTCCAAACAAGCCAGTTTATCAAATTTCTGTCCTGCTAGAGCTGCCTCAGTCAACTCTAAGTGTTGTAGTATTGAAGTGGAAACATCTAGAAGTAATAACAGCTCAGGTAAGCCACACTAGCTCTCAGAACATCATTGCTGAGCACCGAAAGGTGAAGTGCATAAAAATCTGTCCTGTCCTTGGCTGTAACGATCACTACTGTGTTGTAAACTGTATCTAGAAGCAATATAATTACAGTAACAGTTGTGATGAACCAATGAGGAATCTTGACCGTCTAGCAGTCTGACAAACTTTTATGGGCTTGGTGAATGCAGGAAGAACACTGTCTGCCTGAATGCATAGTGCCAACTGTAATATTTGGTGGAGGAGGAGTAGTGGTCTGACTTTTTTATGATTTGGGCCTCTTAGTTACAGGGAAGAGGAAACCATATTGCTACAGCATACAAATGCATTCAAGTATGCATTCAACTTTGTGGCAAGAATTTGGACAAGGCCATAATTTTTTGTCAAAAGTTTCAAATAAAATAAAACCAAAATATTAAGTATCAAAATGTCCAAAATATGTCACAAATACAAATAATCAAACTTTTCAACAAGATTACTACTCATCTTCATTAATTCTAGTATGAATGCATTACTCATTTTTTCATATTTGCTGATTTTGCTTATACATCTTTTGCTTCTGACTTTTGGCACTTTTTAACAGTGGGCAAGTCTTAGTTCACCTGCACTTTCTATTGGTCAACTGATTTGGAGTGACAGGTCTTCTGAACATTTAGCCACTCAGTATGAATGACCCTCAGCATGGCGGAACACGCTTTACTGATTGCTGCTATGAGTGCAGCATTTTACTGGCATATCTGACATCATGAGTCATGTTTATCATATTCCTTTTAAATTATTGTTACACAAGTTTATGGGTCCTATGTCGACCTGGGTAAAACGATATAACTTACTATGGGCACTGAAAACCCATTTGTTTATGAATGAACGGAGCTACACTGCCTTTCAGGTTTGTAACTGCTAGCGCTAACTAACCTACTTCAGGGCTAACTAGGTAAGTCATGCTGAAAATAGGACTACATTCCTTAAATATCTAAAGTAAGCTTACTGTATTAATGTGAAGACAGTAATTTGGGGGAGCAAATTGCAAACTAAACTAGCATGCTGAGATAGGAAGCCTGTTATCCACTCGTACCAGCACAACGCACACTAACACACCACCACCACGTCAGTGTTACTGCAGTGCTGAGAATGATCCACCACCCAAATAGTACCTGCTCTGTGAGGGTCCATGGGGGTCTGGACCACTGAAGAACAGGGTAAAAGGGGGCTAACAAAGTATGCAGAGAAACAGATGGACTACAGTCTGTAACTGTAGAACTACAAAGTGCACCTATATAGTAAGTGGAGATGAAAAAATGGACAATGAGCGTAGAAACAAGGAGGTGGTCATAATGTTATGCCTGATCTGTGATTTTGCTTGTGGATTTTACTTGACTTAACTTGTCTCTGTAGAGGCCTTACCTCAACCTCAACCTTTAGGATGAATTAGAGGGCCAAGTCAGAACTTTTCGCATATCCTCAGTGGCAGACTTCACTAATAACATTGTGGTTAGATGGAAGTGAATGTTCTAAAATCTAGTAGAAAGCCTTTCCAGAAGAGTGGAACCTTTTTTAGCAGCAAAAGGGGATTGACTCCATATTAAGGCCCATTGTTTTCAAATGAGATGTTCAACCTGCACATATGGGTCCACATACTTTTGACCATGTTGTGTATTATTAACGTCATGATGTAAAGATAGTAACTCCATTTCATAGGTATTAACTTCAACCAAGAGTCAAGCTGTTTGCTTCTTCAAGCAAGAAGCACATTTGCATTAAGTTGAAGGTATAAACACTGGGAGGTACCTGCATCACTGCAACCCAAAATACAACAGCCCAGCGAATGGCTGTCTGATCGTGTCATGTTTCAACATCACAGTATGTGGCGTGTCACTTTGAGCGACAGCTTTGACGTCTGGAGATTCTATGTTTGACTGTTTTCTCTAAATATAATCGCCGTTTTGCTCTGAGGCTCCTGCTACACAGAGCTGGGCAGCTTGATAACCGTTTGAAATGCGCTTATTCTACAGTGCCATAAAATATGCTTGATAAACAACAAGGCTGGTGAGTCCATTTATTGCAGCATGTAATAATAGTGATATTTTGAATACTGGAAATGATTAAGCGATCTATGCGGGGAAAATCTATCCTTATTAAGACCTAAAAGCTACTGATTTTGTTGTGTTCCATTAGTCCATTAGAAGACAAAATAGGCTTCTGATTTAGGGTTTATATGAACTTTACTGAAAGTGAATGCAACGTAATTGGGACAAATGGACATGAACAAGCTGTGTAGTGATGTTGTTCTGACTGTGAGAAGAATGTGCATTGCTTTCTCTTTTACACCACACATGGACACAATTAAGGCAAGCAGTGCCAGATGCTTTGACCGTGTAGTCCACCTCCTCTGTTTTGGTTTAGTTGAATCACACTCTTGTTTGTGTTCTTTGAATTTTTTGTTGTTACACACCCCACAGCCCCTCCCCCAACCTATATAAGATCAGGGTTGGCCATACTTTTTGCCTTGGGCAAAAAAGACAGCATGCAAATAAAGAAGGTATGTAGGATGCAAATAAAATGCTTTTTGCATTTTATAACATCACACTACATTTTGTTACTACAACACATCAAAAATACAAATTCAAAAGAAAATAAGAAGTTAATAAGGTAATATAGTGTAAATATATGTTTTTTCCTCTCAGTGGTTGAGTGGGTGGGGTTATGGCCAAATCAAATATCCTCATGGGCCACACTTTGGGCAGCCCAGCCAAGGTTTCCGTCGAAACCCTCCTGCAAAAAGGTGCCAATTTTTAAGGTTATTGAAGCAAGTTCGAGTGTTTCCTTTGGCATAAATATAACTGGTTACTGCTGTGTCTGTTTGTTATTGTATATGACTGACCATGTCTGCATGCTTTGCCTATCAGATATTTGGCATATTTACTGGTAATGGGTTTTTGCCACTTGTTACATCATATTGTCTATAACTATTGGATATCGGCCATATCTATTACCTATGATTACCGGCCATTAGTTACATCCTATTGGCTATGACTATAGGATATTGGCCATATATATTACCTATGATTATTGGCCATTAGTTACACCCTATTGGCTATAACTATTGGTTATTTGCCATATTTATTACCTATGATTATTGGCAATTAGTTATACTATATTGGTTGTAACTATTGGATATTGGCCATATATATATTCTATGATTATTGACCATTAGTTACACCCTATTGGCTATGACTATAGGATATTGGCCAGATATATTGTCTATGATTATTGACTATTAGTTACACCCTACTGGCTATGACTACTGGATATTGGCCATATATATTTTCTATGATTATTGACCATTAGTTACACCCCACTGACTATGACTATAGGATATTGGCCATATATATTTTCTATGGTTATTGACCATTAGTTACACCCTACTGGCTATGGATATTGGCCAGATATATTTTCTATGATTATTGACCATTAGTTACACCCTATTGGCTATGACTACTGGATATTGGCCATATATATTATCTATGATCATTGTCCATTAGTTACACCCTACTGGCTATGACTATCGGATATTGGCCATGTCTATTGACTATGGTTACTAACCATTGCTTACACCCTATTGTCTAACTATTGCATACTGACCATATCTATTATCTGTGCTTACTGGCCATTAGTTACGCCCTATCGGCTATGACTGTTGAATTTTGGCCATATCTATTGCTTATGATTCTTGGCCATTTGTTACATGGGTGTGACTATTAGATATTGACCATATCTATTCTCTGAGATTATTTGTTATTATCCTACTGGCTATAACCATTTAATATTGGATACTGGCCAAATGTTTTGGTTATGATTATTTACTTCTAGTTACAACCCATTTGCTATGACTATTGGAAATTGGCCACATTGATTCATTATGATTATTTGCTATTAGTTATCTTGTTGGCTATGTGTATTGGATATTGAGAGCATTTATTGACTACAGTTATTTGTTTGTAGTTGCCCTATTGGCTCTGACCATTGGATACTGGGAAGGTCTACTGGCTACAGTTACTTTTTATTAGTTACATAACTGCCCATGACTATTTGATATCGGTCATAGGTATTGATTTTGACTATTTGCTATAAGTTGTCCTATTGGCTATGGCTATTGGATATTGGACACATCTATTGGCTATTGGATATTAGATCAATAGCCATGATTATTTACTATTAGTTACCTTATTGGAGGTAATCATTGGATGAACACATTTATTGGTTATGATTATTTGCTGTTAATCATCTTATTGGATATGGCTATTGTATATTGGGCAAATCTGTTGACTATAGTTATTATTGTTTTATTTTAATTACATTATTGATTATTGGATATTGGATCTATAGCCTGTGATTGATTGCTGCGAGTTACTCTATTGGCTATGACTACGAAATTGCCTTCGGTTATTGACTATTGGCTGCAGTGGCCACAGCTGTTGGTCATTGGTCATTGGGAGTGTGGCGGATTGTGGGAGGTGCTGATCGGCTGAACTGTCAAAACACTCCGCGCGCTGTGAGAACAAAGCAAGCACACGAACCGTTCTAACGCGGGAAATACAGCGAGACTGAGGCGCGCGACGTCTGCACGAGACGAGGTGAGTTTACCTCAGAAACAGTTTCTGCGCTGAACTCCTCCGTTTTATTTCGGTCATCACGAAGTTTGAGCGCATTTATTCAGTTCCCTCTACTTGTGTAGGACAGACAGTGACCAAACCTCCGCAGGGAAAGCAGAGGTGAGCTGTTTATGCTGCTATTTTGGCTTCTTTTAATTGTCAACAACTATGTTTTCGTGTTTTGTAGGATGTTACGTAAGCACAGCGTGTAGCCTGCGCTGTAACCAAGACAGTCGCTGCGTTTAAAGGGAAACTCCACAGATTTTTCATAATATTTCTGTATTATTAAACGGTTATGACGCAAATAAAGTAAATAAAGTCATTTAGAGTCATAAGGAGTGGTTTGATGTGAATTGCACCGTTGTAGAGGAACTTACCGAGTCAGAACTGTTCACAGTGGTGATGATAGGAACCAGATGTCCACCTCTAAAAGCTCCCTCACAGAAAATGAATTTGAACACACTGAATGATGTCTGAGACGTTGTTTTGATGATTTTTGTCTTTTGTCTTTTTGATTGTTAATCCATTCATGGTAGACTGATACATCAAGAGTGTAGAACCTTTTTTTTTCCACACTGACTCCTATTTTACCATCAGCATTACATATATGACCTCGGAGGACTTGTGTAGGTTCAGTGGTGGTTTTCAGACAGTAAATAAAATGGCTATATTTGCACTGTAGACATCTCAACCCCTGGTTCCTATCACCACCACTGTGAAGAACTCAAAGTTAAACGAATTACTTCACATCAAACCACTCTGCATGCCTTTGTTTACATCTTAACCTCTGAATTATGCAGAAATTCTGAAAATTCAGTGGAATTCCCCTTTAACTCTAGACAGTGCTTTAGACACATTTATGGGGTATTATTAATTCCTGAAATGAGTGGTCACTGACAAAAGCTTATGATGATATTTGTTTCTATTTTTACTTAAATGGCACCAGCACTCCACAAAAAGAGGAAACATGAACAAATACGGAAGTCTAGCTCGATTCATAACACAGGGTGAGAAAAAAACTAGACATCTCACCCCTATACATATCGTGTTGATGCCCTAGTCTGCAAGCTTTTATTGTAGAGCAGGACTTTGAACTCAGGGTGCAAGGATTAGACATGAAAGCTATCCAGCCCTCAGCCCAGATTGGACTGATTAAAGTGTTTTTGTGTGGCCTGTTTTGGAGGAGCCTTACGATACCCTGCCTGAACACATCCAGACAAACTGGATTGGGTACTGCAGGAATGTTCCTATGAGAGAAGCACCTGGATCCTCAGCTCTGTTGACACAGCTCTTCCTGTGCAATCCATACAGGGCACAAATAAAAGGAGCTGTGGATCCTTAAGGAAGGTTTCACTGGATGGATCTTTTTATATATGATGTGATGATGTGCAAATGCGAAAAAGGTTTTTAAAGCTTAAAAAGACTCTCTATGATGTAAAGTTTCTATGTCAATTAAAAGGCCCATATCCTTCATTTTGCTTCTCTTTTATTTTATCTTTATTATCGAGGTCTGCTAATAACTTTTTTGACTATTTGCCAACCATTTTATCCATTAAAAGGAAACTAAAAGGCTATTTTTGCAGCTTAATTTCTTTAAATGGTATATTTTGAAACTATAGTGTTTACATTCTTTATCAAACTCTTCTGTCTCAAAAAGTGTGGAAAATTCACTTTTCCATGATATGGACCCTTAAATGTGTAAGGCTTCACATAATTTAAAGGTTCCAGGTCAATTAAAGGGCCCATATCCTACATTTTCTTATGTTTTGTAATGGAAACATCATTATTTTTTCCCCTAACCATTTTCCAGCCATTCTCTTGTGTTTTATTCTCATCCCTAAGGTCTTCTTATAACTTTGCATGCCAGGAGGTTTTGTATTTACATGACCATTTTCCAACCACTCTTTACCCCTTAAAATTAAACAGGCTGTTTTTGTTACTGTGCCTTTAAGAAATGACATATGTAAATCGCCTTCATTCTAATTGGCTGTCCTGTGTTGTGCCTTGTTTAAAAAAGCAGTCCAAGCTAAAATGCTCCTTGTAACTTTAATGTGGGAAGGGTTAAAGTGCTCGGTAGACATGTATATGTAAATGAGTTGTTTTTGTGTGACATCACAAAAACACTGACTTCAAAGCAGGCTATTTTTGCACCTTAGTTTCCATATATAGTATATTCTTAAAGTACAGGAAAATTCGCTTTTCCATGATATGGGCCCTTTATTGTGTAAGGCCCACATAATGTAAAGGTCCTATATCAATTAAAGGGCCCATATCCTACATTTCCTTATGTTTTGTAATGGAAACATCATTATTTTTTCCCCCAACCATTTTCCAGCCTCTCTATATCTTTTTATATTGTTACAGTTCCTTTTAAGATCATAATGTGTAAATAACCTTTGTTCTGATTGGCTGTCCTGTATTGAGCCTCATTCAAAAAGCAGTCCAGGCTCAAACATTCCTATTGACTTCAATGTGAATGGAGGGAAGGTAGCATAACTGTTGTAGGCTAAATAGGCAGATATATGTAAATGAGATGGTTTTTGTTACATCATAAAAACTGAATTTTAAAAAGCTGGAGCAGGAACCTTTATTTTCAAAGAGTAGAGCTGCTTTAGCTGAACTCCTTTTATCAATAAGGGTGGACTTCTTTGAGTACAGTGGCCGGTTGTGCCCCTGGGGTTTAATCAGTAAATTCCACAGATATTAACTCACATTATCTGCGATGAAAGCCGCCTTATCAGATGCTGATTGATAGACTCAGCACTTCTGCCACAGCCTGATCAGACTCGACTGTTACTGAGGTAATGATCAGGGCTGTACACTGTAGCCTCAGGGCAACTAGAGTGATAAACATGATCAAAGTTTGGTACTTGATAACTGTAGTATGTTGCATAACTTTTATTACATTCGTAGCAGTTTTGTTTTCTTTGTTTGAAAGTTTGTGCGCAATAAGCTCTGTCTTTTTCTCTTTTCCTTTTTGTACTGAAACCTTTGTGCCTGCATGGTACTGGGGCATTTTTCATGGTGTGGGTCTTTTAGTTCCAGTGAATGGAGATTATAATAATAGAGCCTACAGTGACACCTGTGCTGCCAGCTTTGTATTGCCTTCAGACATATAACTGTGGTCAGTAGTTGTGCTCAGTATCCTTAATTGGTTTTAGTGCAGTACAGTTTGTGAAGTGTGGAATAAAAAACATTCTGCACAGTTTTTGATAGCAGTTTTTAAATGTGGTACTACAGTGCGTTGTGTCTGTGTGTCGAAATATTGTGACAGTGAAAATGAGTGCATTTACATGCACTCAATGATCCGATCATAATCGGATTTCAGCAGTTGATCTGATCTGATTATCTAAATAGTCATGTAAACAGCACACTCCGATATCTTAAATCAGACTAATGTCTGTAAATCCGATTAAGAAACCGGATAAAGAGAGCTGGATTTTAGCTCAGTGATCAGATTTCTCAGTGCTTGTAAACTCTTACTTTGATTTCTTTTGGATTTCTCAGTCTGTGCATGTGAGACGCAGCAAAACACTTTTGGAGCGACTAAAACCAAATACATGCTGAACAAAATGACGGAATTAAATATTCTGCATCTTCTAGATGATGTATGTTCATATTTTCAGGTAAAGTGGCACAGTTTCTTTTTTAAAAGCCGTTTCCATCTGTGACTTTATTGGCTGGCTACAAAGCAGAAATCTGATTACTGCCTGACTCATGTAGACCCAGAGTTTTTCCATTGTCTGATTACTCAAGTGCATGTAAACGTGTTGATTGCATTACAGACAAAATTTGATTTTTTGCAGTTATCAGATTATTAAGTGCATGTCAACACACTTAGTGTTTGTAATTATCAGGAGATGGTATTTTTGCCATACTACCCACCCGTAATCCTAGCCAGTAGCTAATGACAATAACTATATCATAAATAATAATAACTATATAATAAATAATCCTAATCAATAAATATGGCCTATACCCAGTGTAACTAGTGGCAAATAATCATAACCAATAATTAGGGCCAATATCCAATATCCACTGCTAATAAGGCCATTAATAGCAAATAAACATAGACAATAGATATGGCTGTTATGCAATAGTCCAATATCCAGTAGTTGTAGCCAATAGGGTAACTAATAGCAAATAAAGGGCCTTCCTGAAAGTTTGATATGGTATGTAAACACTGTAAAGGTAAAAAAAAAGTATCACTCCTCAGTCCATATTTGGAATCTAAGCTACATAAAATAGGCTGCTTGAATTTTGTGAACGTATTTACATGTACATGCTTATTCAACAGTTTAGCCCTGCCTAGATTGAAGTTATAAGGAGTGTTTCAGCCTAGACTGCATTTTGAACAAGGCACAATGCAGGCCAATCAGAACGGAGGTCATTTACATAATTTTAGACACTGTAGAAAAAAACAGCCTGTTTAATTTTAAAGGATAAGGAGAGGTCATGTAAAAATGAAGACTGTTGCCATGCAAAGTTGTAAGCACACCTGAACAATAGAAATAAAACACAATAAAACAATAGAATACGGGCCCTTTAATTGATATGGAACCATTGCTGTTTAATCTTTAAAAAGGTTCTTCGCACTTGCACGTCTCATATACAAAAAGAACCATCCAGTGAAAGGTACTGAAGGGACTAAGTGTTCTTCTATGGTGTCGCTCCCAAGAACCGTTTATTTGCGTTCTGGATGGCTTGTACAGAAAGCGAGCTGTCTGTGCTCTTTTACAGGGTCGCAGGGCTCTGTGGTATGGAAATGAGAATCCGTGTGTCTAACACTCTCGCCAACTCTACCGGTCCTCCAGGGAGAGTCTCTATTTCCATTGCCCTCGTCCGGTGTTCTCCCTGAGCATTTCCTTCTCTTTTAGGATGTCTTTCTGTTAGCTCAGTCGGCTGCATGAAGCTAATCATGGTTTGATCAAGAGCGGAAAGCCACTTTAGGTTCAATGTCAAGGTCAATACACAAGATTATC